ATTCTGAATACTTCCATTCATTTTTTATTTATTTATCATAATCATCAATAGGTCCATTTAATGAACTTTGAATTTCGTGCAACTTTGTCTACTTAAATTTCAATTAAAATCAAACATACTAATTGATGAATTATGTAATACAAATTGGTCATTCTTCATCCTACTCTGAATTAAATATAACCTTTCTTATACTCCCTTCATTATCGTCATCCTAATCATTATCGCCATCATCACCATCATTCTTTCTCAATGTGGTAACCGTTATTTTTGTTGTGTTGCTACCATTCCTGCTTTTATCCATAGCGTTTAAAGTTTATGATTTTTGAATTTCCCTCCAATATATGTACATATAGACCAAAATAATTCATTCATCTAATAATATATAGAGACAACAATACAAAATGTATGTTCTATTAGGGTAGATAGAAATAGATCGAAAATGATGACGAGCAAAAGAAAAAAAAGAGAGAAAATCCGGAGGTATGAGAATAGAAGTAAATAAGTAGTGATTCAAATGAATTTCCTGTGTAAAACAAAACAAAAAACCAAAATTATAACGGAAACGAAAAAAAAAACTTTGTAGATAGTTGAATATATACAATTAGTCTCTATTGTTATTTACAATTGTCGGTGGTACAAGAAAAGGAACATGTGAGTCTCTGTCTCTCTCTCTCTCTCTTTGTCTCCCTCTCTCTCTCTGCCTCTATGTTTATGTGTATGTATGTGTGTTTACATGTGTATAGGTAGTATATCCTTCTAATCTACTTATCTAGTCTATTCAGTAATATAAAGAAATAACAGATTAAAAAAAGTTAAATTAAAAACCGTCTTTAGGTATACAACGTGAAGTTTGAATAAAAGATGAAAAAGAAAATTTAGAAAAGAAAAGTATAGAGAGTATAGAAAGAAGAAGAAGAAGAAGAAAACAGAATAGGGACGAAACAAAAAAATATTCCACTTGAAAATTAAAATTAGCGTGACTAAGTGATTGAATCAGATCGAAATGATTATTAATTATATAACAATAATTCCAAAATAAATATGCAAAATATTCAATAAATATCCATCGATGTGTGTGTGTGTGTAAGTGAAGTGAAGTGAAGTGCAGTGAGTGAGTGAGTGACATAAAGTTTTGATTTTATCTAATAATGTACAGGAAATCAGTAAAAACTTTCAACAGAATAATCAAAAAAAAAAAATTTTTTTTTTTTGAAAAATAAAATAGTCAAAAATGAATTGAAATAAGTTTTTCCAGTTATGTTTTACTTTTTCTCTCCCCTTCCCTTCCTCCTCCCCCCGTCCTCCTCTTCTCTACAATTTTTAATAGATGACATAAACTAATGAATAAATTTCTTAAAATTCTTTCTCCCTTCTATTCAAAAAAAATTTTTTAAAAAAAACCAAGTTATCATTATGGTTATAGACATTATGACCCACCTTGAAAACATTTTGTATAATTTTTTTTTTAAACAATCCAACTCAAAAGAATTTTTTTTTAAAAAAACTCCATCAAAACTATTCACCTAAGTTACAAATTGTCTCCATCATTTTAAAAATTCTAATAGTTAATATGATTCATTATAATCAATAAGGAAATGAATTGTCATATTACCGCATTTCCGTCTTAATTATTATTAACAGACCCTTTATTGAATATGTTGAATATGAAAGAATATCAAGGGTTAAAATATTTTTTTTTAAAGAAAAATTCATTTCATGTAATAATCAATTTTTTTTTTTAGAATTGACTTACATGTATTACTATTATATCTATAAACCCCCATTTTGATAACAATTATGTGCTTATTAGGGAATAGATTCAAGATGAGTTTCCTGAAGTTCTGATGAGAAGTCATGATCAATGAAATCCAACCCTTTGTTGGATGGAGACAGTTATCCACCACAGATAATGGATGAAAGGTTTCACATAATCATATGTTGGTTTAAATTAGATATTACCACCGTTAGATGCCGGCTCAGTGGTCTAGAGGTTAGGCGTTTGTGTAAGAGACTAAAAGATCTTGGGTTTCGAGTACCATGTGTGGGGTCAAGGATTTACACTTATGAGGAGCTTCATAATAGGACGGAACGGCCGTCCAGTGCTGTCAGATTTTCAATGGTGTTCTAGCTTAGATCGACTCATGAATCCAGAGACTTATAGGTCCTGGGTTCTAATCTCGGGAGGCGGGATCGTGGATGCGCACTGCTAAAGAGTCCCACAACAGGACAGAATGGCCGTCCCGTGCTGCCAGGTTTTCAATGGTGGTCTAGCTTCAATTGACTCATGATCTCAACTATATAAAATTGAACTAAGAAACAGTACATCATTGCAATGAAGAAAGTACTATATATAAAAAGACGACTCAATATAATACATAACTGATAAGTTATTCTACATTCCGATCTATTCATTTGAACCTTTTCTATTTGTTTTCTCCTGAAGATGATTTATAAATAGTTTTCATTATATAGTGATGTTTCAGTATATTTGTATTCGGGTAACTGCGAAACTCAGAAAGTTGGTTTTGTCCAGCTTCAAACTTGTCAGTTGTAAGTACCTATATCTCAATGTTGATATTCATATTGAAAGTCAAACTCAGTATTTATCGCTTTATTCGCCCATTTGAGGTATTAAGTTTAGATAGCCAATAATCTGTTTCACCAATGATCAATATTTCAATGTTTTTTAGTGTATTTCAGTGTTTAAATTGTAGGCATTTTGTAGCTAACTTTAGATAAAAATAAGCAGTTTTATACGGTTACAATGTACAAAGATGTGTGTAAAACTCAGAACTGTATACTTCTTTCATACATGTAATCAATAGACATTGTTGTTGATTAATGAGAAATCAAAATCTAATTCATCTTAGAATACTTTTGTTTATGTCTTTCTAGAGGATTTCATATTATTGATCATTATTTATTCACTTTATTGATTTTTTCAGCTAAAATGACTAAACCTGAAACTCTCTCCATAGTTTGAAATTTAGTTGAATGAAGTTTATTTTCAACTAACTGATCACTGTGCAATAACCAGTGTCATTCATTTAGTCCCTTAGTGCTGATCGAATTGTATTAATTATGTTGTAATGTGTCGACCAGTCTAAGTGACTCCAAATAGTGTGCCCTATGTTAAGATTTACTGTGGTGGTCGGATGTGATAGATAAGAAACTCTGAACCTAGGTTTCGTGCTATTTCGCACTCATCAGCAGAGTGTATTTTCAATCCAGAGGGAACTAATGCTCTGCTAATATTTATTCTATAAAATACAGTGTACGCTCCCACAATACACAATTTTGAATAAAATTTTACCCATGAACATTGAGTTCAAAGGAGATAATAGCAGCATAAATACTGAAGATTAGGTGATCAAGATATCTGAGAATGACCTTTTATTCAAAAAGCTACGAAATATTTTCTTCAGTAAGTACTTCATTTAAGGAAGTGTTAAAGGTTAACTACCGCTTTGGATAACTTTAATATGAATTCATCAGTTTACTTACCCTTGAGAAACAAATGTACAGGTACCGAACACATATTCTAAGCAATACTCTCCATAATTATCTGAAGGAGAATTCAAGTCACTTAGAGCTCATTCCATGAATACATGGTCATCTTTAATCACGTTTCACCATAGCAACTATTGCTGAAGATTATCTATGAAGTCAAAACCAGTAAATTCTTTAAAGGTTAAGGCTGTTAGAAGCGTTCCTTTATTCTCACTAAATTAATTTTCTTGTCAAATCTGACATCCATAGGAATTGTGAAAGTTCTTCCGATTAATATTTACTCTTAAAAACAATGAGGTCACTAGAAAACTGATCATTTAGGCTGTCATATAATCAACAATATCTTAACATAATTCATTGTTGTCAAAAGCTAACTATATATAAGGCTTATTAGTTGGTAATTATGATTCGAGACTGTGTAAATCTGAGTCTCAGAGAGGGCATAGATGATACCGTATATACATTTTTGATGTTGAGAGTTCTTAATACATTGAAATAGAACAGTACTAACATCATGATTCTTTTGATTTTATACTCAGAAGATAAACGTAGAACAAAATGATTACAGTAGAAGGAACAATATATTTAATAATGGAAAGAGATAGATGAATAAATGATATAAAACTGATTATCTAGAGGAGAAGCTCCTTGCAAGTAGTGAACTGGAATATAGGTACGTTACACGACTGAGTGCTTCCAGACAACAAACCCAATATCAATACCTAATATCCATTAAGACATTTACAGATGACGTTGGAAGTGGTTAGGACATACATTATGGAAATTATCAAACTACATTACGAGGAAAATGCTAACTTGGAATCGTGAAAGGAAACGGAAAAGTGGAAGGCTAAAGAACACTCTGTGTCGGAAATTGGAACTTACTTACTTATGCCTGTTACCCCTCGTTGAGGAGTATAGGCCAACCACCAGTATTCTTCATCCAACTCTGTCCTCAGCCTTCCTTTCCAGTTCTTTCCAGTTAACATTCATCCTTTTCATATCGACTTCTATTTCCCAAAGTAATGTATTCTTTGGCCTTCCTCTTTTCCGCTTCCCTCCACCATTCCAAGTTAGGGATTGCCTTGTAATGCACATTGGTGATTTCCTTAATGTATGTCATATCCACTTCCAACGTCTTTTCCTAATTTCCTCTACAGCTAGAATCTGGTTTATCGTCTCCCATAAAACACTGTTACTGATAGTATCCGACCAGAAAAAATAATCCAAACAAAAATTGGAAGCTGACATGTAAAGGATGAATAAAAAACTGGAAACAACCGAAAAGATTTGCCCAGGATCGAGTTAGATGGAGGATAGTGGTTGGCAGCCTATATCCCTTCACGACATATAACAAACGTAAGTAAGTAATCTAACTTTTATATTGAACCTATTCAACTAATTTTTACTTCCAATCTAAAATATAAATCAAAAAAATCAATAAATTATCTGAGAATTATTTTTATTATTTTCTTCTTTTTTTTTTCTTTCTAATAATCCTTGTTAAAATATTTTATGTACAAGAAATAAAATTAATCATAATAATCAATATTCATTTTATGAATTAAATAAATTTTAAGAATTATTGATTGACTGATCGATTTATTGATTGATTGATTGATTGATCGATTGATTGATTGATTGATTTATTGATTTATTGATTATATTTTAATTTATTAAAAACGAAAACAAAACAAATTCAATAAAACCAAACAAAGAAAAATGGAATAAAATGAAGATACGTTTAGCAAAAAGAAAAAAAAACCAAAAACAGAATTGAAAGAAGAACCATTAAATGTGCAGTGATTATTGTCATTTTTTAGAAAAAATGTTGATCATTTATTGATTAATGTATCATAGTTTTGTTTTTGTTTTGTCTACATAGTATTATGGTTATATCACGATTGCTATTATTATCATTATTACTATTATTAGTAGTATTAGTAGTAGTATTGGTAGTGGTAATAGTAGGAGTAGTATTGGTAGTAGTATCCGTGGTAGTATTAGTAGTATTGGTGGTGGTAGCAGTAGTATTAGTAATAGTAATAGTAATGATTAGATATCAATAGAGGTATTAATAAGTTATACTGACTATTCATATTATGAAATATATTTATCTTGTTGGCATAGTATACATTGAATTACAAATTGGTTGATAAAATGTATTATGATTTAATTCTGTATTATAAGTAGTATTTAATCGTTCATTAGACCATAATGTAGATGATAATGTATGTAGATCATCTTGAGTAAATTGTCGATTTGATATATTACTCATATGATTATCAATAATGTTAGTAGTATCCATGGTAGTAGTACTATTATTAATTGTAGTATAATTATTGTTATGATTATCAGTTGTAGTGAATGGTATTGATAATGAAGAATTAATGAATTGCTGAAATGGAGTAACACTGCTATTACTACTATTACTACTACTGCCTACTATTTGATCTGAACTGTTATCTAATCCACCATCATCTAAACGTGTTAATTGTTTTAATTGTGATGACCATAATGAATTGATTGTTGATATTGTCATAGTAGATGGTATTGTTATGGATGTTGTATTATTATTATTATTATTGATTTCTGATAGAAATGGCAATCTTTGTTGTTGATAATTATTATTATCTATCATTGAATCAATATTAGTTCCATAATTATCATGAATACTATTCATTTTAGATGATAATAAATCTTTAGGATTAAATAGATTGGTAAATGATATTCTATCATGATTATGAATAGTATTTATAGGATTAATTAATTGTGAATGATTATTGTTACTAAGGGGAAATGATTTCGAGGTTAATAAATGCATTGTATTAGGAAAATTTGTATATATTGAATTCGTTGTAGTTGTTACTGTTGTAGTCGTTGACGTTATTAAAGATAATGATGATAAAGGTGAACATGTTGATGGCGGTGATGATGAAGATGATAATGTGGATGGTGATAATAATGAGATATCACTTGATAAATGATTTGTTTTGTTAGAATTTAGAAGATTGGTACTTGATATTATTGGATTAAATGATGAATATACTTTATTGGATGTATCTAATCCATGAATATAAGGTGAAACATGTAAATTTTCTTGCATATAATATGGAAATGAGAGATTTTGATAAGATTGTTGTCCAAATGGTATTGAATCATATTTATTGATTGATATTGATGTTGGTATTGTATCTGTCCAATCTGTGAACAAGGAAATTAACATAGATTACTCATATTCTACTCAGAATAAGTCTTCATTTGCATTATAGAATACTCTGAATTCAATTACTTGATTTAAATAATTAAGGAATTATTCTTGGATAAAAATGTAACTAAACTATATTTTTTGGATAGTGAATGGTATGAATGGGATGAACTCACTGCCCCGTTCGAGACTCGTCATTCTCTACAAACATGCATACTAATGTTCACTTTAGTAATCGTGTTGTGAACAAGAACACGGATGGGGGCAATCGAATGTATTTAGGCACAAATTACAGACTATTTCACTAAGATCTGATAATCATACAGCAAATAATTATTTTGAAAAATAACAATCAATGGTCTCAATCTTCACTGTCCCTTCTGTAAATATCAGTTCATCTTCTCTAATTCCATTGTTGATGTATTTTTCTACCAATCGGGCTTCATTTCAATTCTTTCCTTATAGGGCTTCTGCCAAAATATATTCTATGTCTGACTATCCTCATACACTACTTATATGGATATAAGTAGATCACAATACACTCGATCCTAGTAATAATCTATTTCAAATAATAAAAAAGTACAATTATCCTAGATTTTCTTCTTGGACACTATCTGAAAATATAATCAACATGTAATTATAGTCAATATATCAAGTCATTGTTTTAAGAAGATAATATGTAATGAAAAGCTAAGTTTGAATGATTCAGATTATTTTCATTATAAATGAATTATTCATTATATAGTTGAGATCATGAATCAATTGAAGCTAGACAACCATGGAAAACCTGAAATCACTGGATGGTCAACTAGTCCTATTGTGGGACTCCTCAGCAGTGTGTATCCACGATACCGTTTCGCGAGATTCGAACCCAGGACATATCAGTCTCGCTCGTGAACGCTTAACCTCTAGACCACTGAGCTGGCTGACATCCCATGGTGTTAATGTCTAACTTCAACCGATTTACGAAATCAAGCGACACATCCACTATTGTCTTCAGTGAGTTCCTATCTCATAAGAGACCTGGTTGAACTCCACTGGCTACTGGTTCTCACTAGAACTGCAGGAAATACCTCATAGAGCCAATCACTAGTGAGCATATGATCATTATCAGAAGAGGGTTTTGTGGAGATTTTAGTAATTTTTTTATATTACAATTGATAGCTTTTGTGGCTTTAATCTAAAAATTGTTTCAAAGATGTTCTCTGAGAGACATTATACAAAATATCGAAAGAGAAAAAAACATTAAAAAACTATTTATAATAGTTCTTTAACCGATGTTAAATTACAGTAGTGAGTAGTACTCAGATTTCTTTTCTTGTCAACTGATTACAGGAACATCATACCAGACTTAACAATAATTTCCATTGGCAATCCATTTTAAACAACACTCGAAGGTCTTGAGTTCAATCTCGGGGTAGGGGAGTAGTAGAGCTCAATAGTAGGACCGAATATTTATCCCATCCCATCTAGTTCTAACCATTCGTATTAACTAAAGTTTGTTGCTTTCAGTAAAATGATTTTCATTAGTTGTCAAATAAAAATTTTGACGAATCGGATTTAAAATCCTTTTTTTAATTTCCATATTCACAAAAGTTTTATCTTCTGCTATTTCACAAACTTATTGGAATTGGAAATGCAAACGGGATTAGATGATGTCTCAATATTATATAGATATATATAGTATTCCTTGAAAGCCGATTGAATTAATTTCAATATCGAACGAAATAATGGGTATACACTACTCGACAGTCCGAAACTAAAACAAATTATCTATTCAGTGTTCCTTGAACTTCAACGACTATTCACTTGACATCAGTTTGTTATGAATATTGCTTTCAAATGTATATCTATTTCTAATTGATAATGAGTTAAATCTAGGTAAAGGTAAGGATTGGCAAAGCAAGGGCCGCATTCCTACAATTGAAGAACATATGGAACTTAAAACAACTGTCAACTAATTTCAAAGTCAGAATCTCCAATACGATCGTCAAGACAGTCAGTTCTACTGTATGGAGCTGAAACGTGGAGAACTACTACATCCATCGTGAAGAAGGTAGAAGTATTTATAAACAGTTGTCTACACAAAATACTCAACATTCACTGACCGGATACCATCAGCAACAGCATTTTATGGGAGAGGACAAACTATCTTCCAGTTGAAGAGGAAATTAGGAAAATACGTTGGAACTGGATAGAATATACATTGAGGAAATCACCAATGTACATTACAAGGCAATCCCTAACTTGGAATGGTGAATGGAAGCGGAAAAGTGGAAGGCCAAAGATCACATTACGCCGGGAGATTGGAGCAGATATGAAAAGGATGAATGTTAACTGGAAATAACTGGAAAGGAAGGCTGAGGACAGAGTTTGATGGAGAATGCTGGTGTTTGACCTATGCTCCTTGACAAGGGGTAACAGGCGTAAGTAAGTAACTAAGTAATATTTCTCAAAAATCGATATCAGTAGAGGCATTATAGATTACCATAGAACATTGAATTAATGTTTTCTTCTAGTATAAAAATCTATAGTGTTAAGCATCTAAAACATCAATAATTTTCGAATCCAGAGATTTCAAGTATTGTGCCAAGTTTTTAGATATTAAAATATTAAGTTTATATTCAGTAGTCCATATTTTCTAACTTCAGTGAACGAGAACACCAGCAGGGACAATCAAAAGTATTTGAACACGAAATTACAGAACATTATAGTAAACTCTGTGAACCATACACAGTAAATACTTCATTTATAAAATATCAATCAATCATCTTAGACTTGATTGTTCTTTACTTTTCGCACCAATCATTCTCTGTTCTCATTCTACCTTTTAAACATTTCACTTTCGATTAATGATACATACTACTTATATCTATCGAAATCAGTAGTACACACCCCAAACTGATAATAAATAATTTTAATGTTTATATTATTCAATGTAAAAAAATTCACACTTAACTTACTTGATAAATTACATTCAGATGAATTCACTAATTTTGATTCCGCTTTATCTTGATATTCATTTAAATGATTTACAATTGAATGATTTAATTGTGTTGATGTTGAAGATGATGACGATGATGTTGTTGCTTGTAAACTATGATGATGATAATGTTGTTTATTGAATGTATTCAATGAATTCAATGTAGAATTCATTTTATCATATTGATCATTTAAGAAGAAATCAAATGGTTGAATATGATGAAGAAATGTTGAATTCGAAGAAGATGAAGATGGAAATGATGATGATGTTGATGTTGAAGATGACGATGGTGGTGGTGGCGGTGGTGGCTGAATGAACGTATAGTTATGGAATAGTTCTTGTTTTCTTTTATGTAATAATTCATTCTCTATATATAATTCACCATTCTTATGATAAGAAGGTTTAAATGAATCTGATTTCATGATGAATTTGTTTAATTTCCCATTTTTATTTAATGAATAATTTCGATAATAATTATGATTTGTAGAATCTTTTAATGTGGCATGATTTCTTGATTGATTGTATGGTAGTTTTGTAAGATTTAAATCTTCCTCAGATCCAGTCATTTCATCGTCAACATCACCATCATTACCAGTATCAATATCGTGATAAATAGATTGATGATTTGTTATTCTACATCCTTCATTACGATGTCCTTCATCATTATCCATGTCATTGTCACCATCATTCACCTCTCTATCATCATCATTATCGTCATCGTCATCATCATCATCATCAGCATCATCATCATCGTCTTCATCATTTTGTTCTTCACCTCTATGTTTAGGTGTCCATGTCATTTTATTTTCTTTTTTTAAACGTCTTCTTGCATTAGCAAACCATGTAGATACTTGTGTTAAAGTCATTTTAGTTATAATAGCTAACATAATTTTTTCTCCTTTAGTTGGATAAGGATTTTTAATATGTTCTTGTAACCATGCTTTTAATGTTGTTGTACTTTCTTTTGTAGCATTTCTTCGTCTTGTTGTATTAGCAAATTCATTTGAATATCTAAAAAAATCACGGTGAATATTTAAAAAAAAAAAGATATTAAAACTACCGGCTAATATTCGTTATATATATATATAAAGTTATCAGAAGGGGTTTAGTGGAGATTTTAGTAATTTTATAGAGTTGAGATCATGAATCAATTAAAGTTAGACCACAATCAAAAACCTGGGAGAACTGGATAACCGTTTCATCCTATTATGGGACTCCTCACCAGTGGAGTTCAACCAGGTCTGTTGAGAGTTATAAACTCACTGAAGACATTGGTGAAATGGTTGCTCAACCTCGTGGATTGGTTGAAGTTAGACATGAACACTGTTGGATGTCGGCCGGTTCACTGGTCTATCGGTTAAGTGCTCTGGCGCGAGACTAGTAGGTCCTGGATTCGAATCTCGCTCGTGAGGCAGGATCGTGGATGCGCACTGCTGAGGAGTCTTATACTAGAATGAAATGGCCGTTCCGTTTTTTCAAGTTTTCAGTAGTGATCTAGCTTAGATCGACTCATGAATTCAACTGGTAATATTGTGTTTTAACTAATGAATGAATATTTTTATTTATTAACGTTTTCTAGAAGCTTATAATTTTACTTCAAGAAACATATTTAGTTCTGAAGAGTTCACAAAGTGATTTCATCACATGAAACGTCATTCATTTCAACAGAACTTCAATAAACTATGGTGTTTATATTAAATAACTAAGATATATTACTAGGATAACATTCTGAAGTCATAGAATGTTTAACAAACTTAACAAAAGATTTTCATAGTTGAAAGCGTGAGTCAATTGAAGCTAGACCACCATCGAAAACCTGAAAGCACTGGACGGCCAACTCGTCCTATTATGGGACTCCTCAGCAGTGCGCATCCACGAGGTAAATCTAGGAGTTCTAGTGAGAAGCAGTAACCAGTGCAGTTCAACCAAGTCTGTTGTAGAGATATCAACTCACTAAGGACAATTGGTGAACGCTTGCTAAACTTCGTGGATTGGTTGAAGTTAGACATTAAAACTATGGATGCCGGCTCAGTGGTCTATCGGTTAAGTGCTCTGACGCGAGACTGGTAGGTCCTGGGTTCGAATCTCATGAGGCGGGATCGCGAATGCTCACTGCTGAGGAGTCCCACAATAGGACGAGTTGACCGTCCAGTGCTTGAAGGTTTTCCATGGTAGTCTAGCTTCAATTGACTTTCAACTATGAAATATACTAAGTTTCCACAAAAACCCCCTTCTGATAAAAGTTCTTTAATCTAAACACTACCTATATTTCTTTTTTATTTTACAGTAAATTTGTAGAGAAAATGTTACCTCAATACTTGCTGAACAAATTTCCTAAATCATGAAAAGCAAATATGGATATTAGCTAGCAGCGGAATCCAGGACGCGCGTTCGGTCCTATTTGGGACTCGTCAGCTGGATGTCCATGCATCTCAGAGTTGATGTTCACTCCAGGACTAAAACTCAGTACTATTCGCTTGAAACGCCATCACGTTATCTACTCAGCTACTGAGTTCTGATATCGAAAATCTAATAAATAACCCAAATCTTTTAAAACTTTAATTGTAAAACCCTCTAAAATTACAAAACCTTATTCAATGTAATTATGACAAGTAGATATAACTAACTAAAGACTAACCAGAACTTTAAGCCTATCAATGTTGTCATTCTTTTTCTCTGTTGTCAATACAAAGTAAACATCCAAAAATGAAGTTTACAAATCATAGGAACAATATATTTTTCATTTTTTTATAACAGAAAAGATTATCAATTATCTTATTCTATAGAAATGTGACAATTATTTCCTGTAAACTTCTGGAAAATAATCTATTTGGCACTAGTTGCTAACATCTAATGCTTTAAAACATAAATCATTGTTGACATTAAGTAACCTATAAAGTGAGCATAGTAAATTGTAAACCTTTAGTGACTCTTAAAATGACCATGAAAAAGGAAAGCCAATTGTAAGTTAATCAGAATATACCTGGTAAAAATGAATCGTTTGTTATATAGAAACCTAAAGAATATTTTAGTATCAATCTTCCCATTAGTGTTTAGGACTGAAATTGATCAGTTGCTTACTAGAAAATATGCATCCTGTGCGGATTGACTCGATATTAACTTAAGTCACAATCATTGTAAGCAAATATAGATGGTGGCTAACAATAGAATCCAGGAAGATTCAAACAAACAATACCAAATGAATTTAAACTTAACCCCATTGCACAAGCTATTGGCTATCAGGATTTTAATAGCTAAGTGGATAACGTAATGGCGTTTGAAGCGAATGGTACTAGATTCCAGTCTCGGAGTGGATATCGACTCTGATATGCAGGTGCATCCTGCTGAAGAGTCCCGAATAGGACGAAACGCGCGTCCTGGATCCCACTGCTAGCCATCACTGATCTTTACTCATAATTCTCCAGTAAGTATTTTTATTTGGAATATTGAGAAACTTTAATTTGCCTACAAAAATCCATAAGTCCTTTCTCCTGTCCTTTACCCCTTGATGTGATTGCTTTATAGAGATTCATCTAATATGCAAATGATATTCATCAAGAACCTGTCTCATTTGGGATAATACTGAAAACCTGGTTATATTGGATAGCTAATTTACCCAAAATTAAGACTCAAGATCACACTATAGATCCAAAGCCCACCATTCACGTCTCATGGTGAAAGTCTTACGTACAAACGATTGAGCTGGATCTATGTATCATTTTATCGCAACCCATTGGTCTAGTAACTAAACTCTCGCTAGGATACATGCAGGTCTTGAGTTTGATTTGCAGTACCGTTGAGGAGTTTCACGCTAATATCAAACAGCTTTTTATTGTGTTTTTTTTATTTTTATTGGTACAAGAAGTAATGCCGATCCGTAAGGAATAACACTTACATATGAAACCACCAACTGTACTGGTAATCTGTAAACTTTAAATCATGAAAATAATGATTCCACTAAATGAAATGGTGAACCATATCTTTATGTGATTGTTTTATTTGTTATCACGAAACAATCTTCTTTCGAACATATATGCCTAAATATTAGATAGGTTTCATCCAGAAAAATGACACCGGCTGCAGAACGATAGAAAATCAAGGAACACTGAACAAATATTTCCATTCTGTTTTAGAAATCTTCGGCAGTATGCAATCACAATTTCTTATGAAGATTACATACTCCAGCATCAGTTAAAGTTTATTGATCCAGCTACTATTAAACCCACGGTGAAAGTGATTAGTTATTTCTTAAATTTAGAAAAGCTGGTGCTACAATTAAAGTGTAATTCATTTATAGTGACTGTTTGAATCTTTCCATTGATGTTGAGTAATGTAATTATTCAGTCTGTTTTTGGTACATGGGCATCCTATTAGGATCGACTGTATATCGCCATTAAGTCACAAGGATTTTAAGCAAGGATATATGGTGGTTAGCAGTAGAATTTAGCATACTAGTTTCATTCCATTTGAGAATTAGCATCTGGATGTACCTGAACCCCAGTGTTAATATTTACAATGAAACTCAAATCCATTACTTCTCGTCTCAATCACGCCACTCGTTATCCATCGAGGTAATGAGTTCAGATAACCAGTAACTTATTCAATTAAATGAGCCATATATCAAAATATTAAAAAAACTTATAACAATCCCATACCGAAGTAATTCTCATTGGATGAACTTATAATAACAAAAACTGATTATTGACAGTCATGAAGATAAACAATATTCTTATCAGTCCTTTTCTCTTAGTGCTTGAATTCTTCAGAGTTATAAATAACTAAATCTTTTATTCTCACTCTTAGATTTAAAGATTCTTTCTAATTGATTTATTCATCTTTTATGTAGTTGAGATCATGAGTCAATTAAAGCTAGACTACCATGGTAAACCTGAAAGCACTGGACGGCCAACTTGTCCTATTGTGGGACTCCTCAGCAGTGCGCATCCACGATCCCACCTCGCCAGATTCGAACTCAGAACCTATCAGTCTCGCGCGCTAGCACTCATCTTTTTTAAAGTACTATCTTCAACTGAATAGATTATGAAAAAAATTGATTATTTTACATATCGTTTTGGTATACAGTCAAATTTACTTAGTTGTCATTTCTCACTAAGTCTCACTTTAACATTACTGTGATAATTATGAATGTATTTAAAGTGATAAACTATGACCTTTTAAAAAATCTTATCATAACTACTACGTGTCTTTCATATTTTATCAACCTTATAGACTATAATAAGATGTATGTATTTTTGAAGACTATAACATGAACTATACTATGAATATTACCACTGTAGTGAACGAGAACAGTAGGTCTCAATATAAACAAAGGGAAAAGGAAGACTCTCCGATACAATACAACATGCACCAATCGAATTACACTTGACGGAGAAGCTTTAGAGGATGTGAAAACTTTTAAATATCTAGGCAACATCATTGATGAACGCGGTAGATCTGATGCAGATGTGAGGTCAAGGATCGGGAAAGCAAGAGCAGCATATTTACAACTGAATAACATCTGGAAATCAAAACAATCGTCAACCAACATCAAGATCAGAATTTTCAATACAAATATCAAAACAGTTCTGCTGTATATGGCGGAAACCTGGAAAACTACGAAAGCCATCATTCACAAGATAAAAGTGTTTATAACAGTTGTCTACCTAAGATACTTCGGACCCGTTGGCCAGACACTATCAGCAACAACCTAGTGTGGGAGAGAACAAGCCAGATTCCATCCAGTGTAGGAAGAAATCAAGAAGAAGCGATGGAAGTGGATAGGACACACATTGAGTTAATCACCCAACTGTGTCACAAGACAAGCCCTCACTTCGAACCCTCAAGGTCAAAGTAGAAGAGGAAGACCAAAGAACACATTACGCCGAGAAATGGAGACAGATATATGAAGAATGAACAAAATTTCGATAGAATTAGAAAGGAAGGCCGAGGACAGAGTGGATTGGAGAATGCTGGTCTGCTGGCTATGCTCGATTGGGAGTAACAGGCATAAGTAAGTAAGTAAGTAAGTGAGTAAGTGAACGAGGACACAAGTAGAGAACCATCAAATGTATTTCAATACAACATTACAGAATATCTTGGTAAAATCTAAGAACCACACAGTAAATACTTCATTTTTAAAATATTTATCATTTATCTCAGACTTTGTTTTTCTTTCGTTTCCACAGTGAATCATTCACTGTTCTCGTCCTTGTTCTTTTCGTTTTACTCAACCTACTGCCTTCAGGCATTCCACTTTCTATTGATGACACATACTACTAATATTTGTCGACATCAGCAGCAAATACCACACTACTACTACTACTATTACTACTACTACTACTACTACTACTACTACTACTACTACTAAATGACTTCCTTTATCTGTCATTAAATCCACAGAAAATAATAACAATAATAGTAATAATAACTTCTTCCTAACTTCAAGTTAACCTTAATTTACTTACTGAATAAGGCAATATAATATAACATTTGTATTCAATCTATTTCCGGTACATCCCTTCAATAACAAACAACGCAAACAAAACAAAAAAAAACATTCTAATCTTTCATGAACATTATATTTTGCAAACTTATTGCTATTAGTATATGTAAGTATCTATGAGTATGTGTGTGTGGGGGGGGAGGGGATGTCTTCTTTATCAGATAGGAAATATTGAAAAATTAAAAAAAATTCCTTGTAAGAATAGTTTTCTATTGTATGACAGAAACCTAAGCCTATATAAATATATAGATATCTTGAAATGTAAATAAATAAGCATGATATATTGATTTAGTCATTGTATAAGACATAGATTAACTAAGATACATATTTGTGATTTGTTTATTTTCACTAATAATAGAATTTATAAAATTATCCTGTCAATAAATGTTCTCTTTACTTTGCTTTGCTTGTTGACATCCTAGATACTATATTTATTGAATCTCCCCTTCCCTCTCTCTCATTTTACCTTTCCCTCCCCCCTCCCTCACTATATATATATATATATATATATATATATATATATATGCGGTGATGTAAACTTCCTTAACATGATATTTCAGGTTGATCTGATATACTTCATCCTTTTTTTATAAAAAAGGAAAACGTCTACATCGAAACAATGAGTTTTTCAGTTGCATCAAATGGCCTAGATTGTTTTGTTACAAATATATATATATATATATATATATATATATATATATATATATATCATTTCAATTATTTGAGGCTTATCAGTTAAATATGCTTGGATCGTAGTGTTTATATTGACATTGAGACTTGAACTTAATGCCTTTTCAGAGTTGAAATCATGAGTTAATTGAAGTTAGACCACTATCGAAAACCTAGAAGCACTGGATGGCCAACTCATCCTATTATGGGACTCCTCAACAGTGCGCATCCACGGTCCCGCACTCGCGAGATTCAAACCCAGGACCTACCAGTCTTGCGCCAGAGCACTTAACTGATAGACCACTGAGTCGGCCGGCATCCAACGGTGTTAATGTCTAACTTCAACCAATCCACGAAGTTTGAGAGTCAATTGAAGCTAGACCACCATGGAAAACCTCACTGAAGATAATTGATGAGCGGTTGCTCAATTTCGTAGATCGATTGAAGTTAGACATTAACACCGTTGGATGCCGGCCGACTACGTGGTCTAGAAGTTAAGAGTTCGCTTGCGAGACTGATAGGTCCTGGGCTCGAATCTCGCTTGTAAGGCGGGATCGTGGATGCTCACTGCTGAGGGGTCTCACAATAGGACGAGTTGGCTGTCCATTACTTCCAGATTTTCCATGGTAGTCTAGCTTCAATTGACTTATGATCTCAACTATGAAAAATACTGAAATCTCCATAAAATCCCTTCAATTTTAAATAAATAAAAGATCTACATAAACTATTACAAGAAGGTCATATCTGAAATGTTCATAATTACAATGTATACAATAATAATAAATTCACTTAGTATTATTTGTTTGAATCTTCCCATTGATGTTTTTAGGACTGCAATTGGTCAGTGTCTAATAGGCATATGTGCATAATGTGCGTATTGACTCGATGTAGCCTAAATTCATAAGCATTATAAGCAAAGATGGATAGTGGCTAGCAGTGGAATTCAGTGTGACGCGCGCCACTTCTTCCTATTTGGGACTCGTCAGCTGGATGTACCTGCATCTCAGAGTTGATGTTCACTCTAGGACTCGAACCCAGTACCTTTCGTTTCAAACGCCACTCAGCCACTGACTCCTAATAATAATAGTAACAATAATAACATTAATAATAACTTACCCTATTTGCCCTCTATAAGGATGAGATGATGTATTATTTGATGTCCAATTTATATTACTTAACTTAGATATATTATCTCTACAATCATTTAAATTTCTTGTATATGCTGATGATGATGACATTGTTAATGGATTAGTTTGATTTAATGATAAATTCGGTATTACAGAAGGAAATGTTATAGGATTATTATTTTCATTCATTGTATTAATTATAGATGAATGAAATGAAGGTATCATATGTCGACCATTTATGAATTGTTCTCCAGTAGGTGTAGTAATAGTACTACTATTATTGTTATTAGTAGTAGTAGTCGTCATCGTAGTAATATGTGATGGATTCCTGTGGATAGTCATTAACCCATTATTATTAGTAGTATTAATATTATTACTATAATTATCATTACTATTATTCGATGATGAACTTGTATTCATATTTGATTTATGTAAATAATCAACACCATTATCCCCATTCAATATTGAAGAATTCAATAGTTCATGTCCATTGTTTAAATCATATTGATTAGAATGTTTAGAATTAAGATGATAATAATATGGTAAATGATTGAATGTAAATGAAGAAAAATAATTATGTAATGGTGATGTTGATTGACATGTAGTATCATTATGATAAGAAGATTGATTTTGTTCAATATCGTTATTATTACTTTGATAATTCGAATGATACTGATGAGGATATTGAAAACGAGGTCGAAATCCAGAATTATATTGTAAATCAATCGTCTCATTTGATATAGGTGTATTGCTTATGCCAAATTCTATAGAATGAAATAATGATTTAGATGAAGTTGTTATAGATGATGTACATTGATGAGATGTAGTAGTCAATATAACTGTATCATCATTATCATCCTCTATATGATGTAATTTAGATTGATTTAAATCATTATCTAATCTTATACAATTCAATTCATTTGAAGAACTAATTCTAGATTTTTTTGTTAATGGCATCATATCTGTTGATTCATGTTTAGGTGAATAGAAAGTTGAGTGATGATGTTGATGGTGAGGATGAGGAGGAGGTGGAGGAGGAGGTACAGGAGGTGGAGGATCACATTGTTTATCACAATGTTTATAAACACTTAAATGTGATATTTCAATTGGATTATAACCATTTGTTTCTTCTCCATTTTCATGATCTTCATCATTAGGATCACTATCATCATGATCATGATCATCATCTTCATGACCACAATGATTGTTACTATCATTACTAGTGGAAATCATTAAATTTAATTTATTTGTATTATTATTATTATTATTGTCAATGATTTGTTTACCATATTCTAAATCATTCAATAGAATACGATTTGCATCATCATAAGATAATGATAATGATGGAGATAAAGATTTCGGTCTGTTAAATGATAATGATGGTGAAGATGATGATGATGAGGTTGAATTGATCATGTAATTGGTTTTATTATTATCATAAGAATCAAGTGGTTTAATTGTTAATTGGGAATGAATGCTTGGACCACTTAATTCTGTTATTGTTAAATTATTAATTTGTGATTGGTTTCTATTTATGGATTCTTGTGGAATACAAGTTATCTAAATGAATAGAATTAAAGATAAAATACAATAATATGGTAATTGTAAGTGGTTATATATTTGGTATTCTCTATATATAGTTGAAATCATAAGTCAACTGAAGCTAGACCACCAAGGAAAACCTTCAAGCATTGGACTGCAAACTCGTCCTATTGTGGGACTCCTCAACAGTGCGCATCCACGATTTCGCCTACGCGAGATTCGAACCCAGGAGCTATCGATCTCGCGAGCGAACGCTTAACCACTAGATCACTGAGCTTGCCGGCATCCAACGATGTTAATGTATAACTTTAACCAAACCACGATGTTTGAGCAACCATTCATCAATGCCTTCAGTGAGTGGATGCGTACTACTGAGGAGTCCCACAATAGGACGAGACGGCAGTTCAGTGCTTCCGTGTTTTCCATGGTGGTCTAGCTTCAATCGACTCATGATCTTAACTATATAAAATTACTAGAATCTCCACAAAACCCCCTTGTGATAAAACAAAGAGAATTAGATAACTTGTTGAAATATGTAGATAACAGTAACAGGTAGCCCAGATGTTTAAGTAGATCGCCTTTATCCACTTTTGTTTTCACTGGTTAGTTGTTTCATCATACTATGTAACTAACCAACAACATACATTTACAACCCCTCTATTCCAATTGAATACAGTGTGTTTACAACTCAATTAGCGGGTTCCTAACAATTAAACCATCAGATTAATATCAAATTCATAATGAATACTAATTCTAGATTAAATTAATCTATTCCAAATCATCTCGTCTCATTTTATATATTTATATATAGTTCAGATCATAAATCAATTGAAGTTAGACCATCATGGAAAACCTGGAAGCATTGGATGATCGTGTATTTGATTATTATTAGTAGTATTATATAGATCAATATTTATTGAAAACAAATGTTATACGTGCTTAATCATTCAATCATTTTATGAGTTGTTACATAATATATGATTACAATGAAAGTATGAATTATGCAATATGACGTAATGGATTACATGATATACTGATAAGCATCTATCCTATATGATTGTAAAGAATTTGCATTATAGAAATTATGAATTTAACATGTTTACCATTGAATTCAATATAGTTTTATTTAAACTATTAACTGGAAGTTAAGGTTTATAATAATACTGATAATAATGATATGCAATAATTAATAAATTTAGCACATTTTAATAGTTGAGATTATGAGTCGATTAAAGCTAGGTCAACGTGAGAAACTTGGAAGCACTGGATGGTCGTTTTGTCCTACTGTGGAACTCCTCAGAAGTGCGTATCCCCGATCCCGCCTCACGAGCAAGATTTGAATCCAGGATCTATCAGTCTCACGCGCGAGTGCTTAACCACTAGATCACTGAGCCGGTATACAACGGTGTTAGTGTCTAACTTTAACCAATCCACGATGTTTGAGCAACCATTCATCAATGTCTTCAGTGAGTGGATGCGTACTACTGAGGAGTCCCACAATAGGACGAGACGGCAGTCCAGTGCTTACAGGTGCATACTATGCGTATTGCCTTGATATAGTATTAATTCACAAGCATTATAAGTAATCCATATATGTCAATAAGAGACTGATCAATTGCAGTCCTAAACGTCAATTGGAAGATAAAAACAAACAATATCAAGTGAATTTAAACTTCACCTCATTGCACAAGCAGGTGACTATCAGGACTCAGTAGCTGGGTGGATAAAGCGATGGCGTATGAAGCGAAAGGTACTGGGTTCGAGTCTCAGAGTGAACATCAACTCTGAAATGCAAGCACATCCAGCTGACGAGCCTCAAATAGGACGAAGTGGCGCGCGTCAAACTGGATTTCACTGCTAGCCACTATCCACCTTTGCCTGTAACAAATACTGTCTGCATAAGTTGCTCGCAATACTACTATACTGATAAACTTAAAATGTTTGAAAATGTTAATTACGGTAGTACAGAAAAAAAAGACTCAAAGTCTACTTTCTCAATTTACCATTTCTTCTCAGATGATTTAACAGACGTTAGTAGTAGTAGTAGTAGTAGTAGTAGTAGTAGTAGTAGTAATAGTAGTAGTAGTAGTAGTAGTAGTAGTAGTAGTAGTAGTAGTAGTAGTAGTAGTAGTAGTAGTAATAGTCTCAGATGATTACAACTGATGCTATTAGTACTTCTACTACTCTGGAATTTATCTTGCTGATTTTTTATAGCTAAGCTGATACTCTGACATAACCTGAATCGATATACATAAATCCTAGGTTTTACTTTAAAACTGATTGACTAATTTAGTGATATTCATCTATTTAAAGAATGATGATTTCTTCTTAGAGTATGACCGATAACTACAAATAATAATCACGTTATTTTAGGTTAGGTACATTTATATTTTAATAGTTGAGATCAATTGAGTCAATTGAAGCTAAACAAGCATTGAAAACCTGAAAGCACTAGACGGCCGTTTCGTCCTATTTCGGGACTCCTCAGCTTATAAATAATCTATCGAACCTATCTAAAATTTAGTTCAGTTAATCAGTCAAATGCTAATTATACATTTAATGATCCTATTTTCTTTAAACTATATGATTTAGTTACAAAACATTTCATTGTATGTTTAAACAATAACAAGTAAGCACTGATGTTAGTGAGAATGATAATAAAAGCTTCTTAATTACAGTGTGCAGTTTAGAGAATTGAATATCATCAAATCTAATGAGAAGTATTTCAGAATTGAGGTAAGGAAAGGATATTTATAGATGTCAAATTAAACCAGTGACTAGTGGAGTTCAACCAATTCTGTTGTAGAGATATCAACTCACTGAAGACAATGGTGAGTGGTTGCTCAAACATCGTGGATTGATTGAAGTTAGACATTAACACCGGTGGATACCGGCCGGCTCAGTGGTCTAGAGGTTAAGTGCTTTGGTGCGAGCCTGGTAGGTCCTGGGTTTGAATCTCGCTCGTCAGGTGGGATCGTGAATGCGCACTGTTGAGGAGTCCCATAATAGGATGAGTCGGCCGTCCAGTGCTTCCAGATTTTCCATGGTAGTCTACCTTCAATTGACTTATGAATTCAACTATGAAAATTGAAATTTATCTTACTTTTTTCAGTTAGTAATAAAGATTTAAGTATTTACAATTGAACAAATGAAACTTTATGGTAGAAATTATATAAAATATATAGCCCCTCAATACATTGTGATTAACAAGTCATCTAATGTAAATTTATTAATATGATTGTTTAAAACTACAAATCATTGGGTAATGATAATGTTATCTTTAAAAAACGCTGTTGAGTGGTTATAGGTTGTCTGAAGGTAACTCTACTTGACTCAAGTTTCGTACTAATTGGATCCTGCCACCAAGGTGTTTCAGTTATCTTCATGGGACTGGTACTCCCTATAGGACTTGAAGACGTGTCACAAAGTTCTACAGCCTGAGCTATTACCTTTGAATAATTTGAACCATGACCGATCTCTTACAGAGCTTATAATCAAATATCTTTTCCCCTAAAACTTACTTTCTAGTAAGAAATAGGCAAATTTTTATTGATTAAGTGTATATATATAGATGCCCAAATATAATTACCATGTTAAAAGTTTCTAAAATCATCAAAGTGCAAACAATTCATTGTTTTTATGTAAAGTTGAAATCATGAGTCAATGGAAGCTAGACCACCGTAGAAAACCTGAAATAACTGGACGACCGTTTCGTCCTATTGTTGTTGTCATTGTTTTTTTTTTAAAAAAGTACATTCATTTCCATTAAGAAAATTAATGTCAAAACCAACATAGAAACAATGAAAAATGCACTTTATATTAATGTCTACATTCTAATCAGTCACTAGGTATCAATTCATGTTATTTCCTTATCTAGTTCTTAGTGTTAATAGAATGGTAACGAATAAATCTGTGATAAGCTTACCAAATGATTCGACATTATAATGCACTGTGTTCAATGTTAAATGATTACTGTTAATCAAAAAAACTTTGATATCTTGATTTAGGACAATTATTTAACCAGTTTCCTTTTTAAATGCCGAGATTTGGATTTCACAGACCACCTAGCTCTTCTATCTCATATACTCCAACATATACTTGTCAAGACAAACGGTTTAGCAGAAGTCTCTACATTAGTAAGCCTCAAAATATATAAGGGAAAAACCAAGATCCTCAAATACAACACAGAGAACACTAACACAATCGCAATTGATGGGGAAGCCCTCGAAGAGGTAGAAACATTCACCTACCTGGATAGCATCATCAATCAATAAGGAGGATCGGATACAGACGTAAACAGGAGGATTGGCAAAGTAGGGACACAATCCCTACAGTTCAAGAAAATATGGAACTCAAAACAACTGTCTACAACACAACATCAAACTCACAATATTCAATACAAATGTCAACATAGTGAGTTCTACTATATGGAGCTGAGACTTAGAGAACTACCACAACCATCATCAAAAGTGTACATATAATTATAAACAATTGTCTACGAAAGGTACTCAATGTCCATTGACTAAATATCATCAACAACAACCTACTATGAGAGAAAACAAACTGGCTCCTAAATGAGTAGGAAATTAAGAAAATATATTAGAAGTTTATAGGACATGAATTGAGGAACTCATCAAAGTGCGTCACGAGTCAAGTGCTCACTTGGAATTCGGAATAGGAACAGGAGAGTGGAATGTCAAAAAAAAAACACTGTGTCAAGAATGGGAAGCAGACATGAAAATAATGAATAGGAACTGGAAATAACTGTGAAGGATTGTTGAGGACAGAATTGAATCAACTTAAAAGCATAAGTCCAGCACTTCCAGGTTTTCCATGGTGGTCTAGCTTCAATTGATTCCCTGATCTCAACTATCAAAATTACTATTATATCCACAGAACCCCTTCTAATAAAAATCTATTCAGTTGACGATCAGCTTGCACAATCAAATCTTAATCTACCTCAGTAACAGAGTAGAAGTATTAATTTTTTAAATAACAGAATATTGTAACTCAACCTG